TTTTTTTTTCACTGTGATAATGTATAGATCTTTGAATTTTATTGATAAGTTATGTTTGTGGAAAGGCCAAAATTTCGGTTTTTCAGTTTTTTTTTTTATATTATTATTATTATTATTATTATTATTATTATTATTATTATTATTATTATTATTATTATTATTTTATTAAAAGAGCAAAATCGTCATTTCAGGGGGCGGTATTTAGTAAAATCAATGTGGTAAATAGTAACACTCTTTTGTTAATCACAAGTGCACTTTTTTTAATCACAAGTGGGCAATTATTGGGGCGGTGGGCATGTGGCCCTTTTACTTTCTCTTTACCTAACAATTTTTCCATTTTATCCCTTTTAGCAGCTGAACCTCTTTTTATTGCAAGCTTAATAAAAAATAGATCAATTACAATGACAAAAAGTCAACTCATATAATCTTATAACAACAATAACTTAACTTATAAATTTTAATAAAAAAATCATAACTTACAAATGTATCATAAGCCCTTTTCAATGGACTTTTGTCCACTTCTTGAGTTAATTGGCTTTGAGGGTTCATTTCTTGCTCCTTTCTTTTCTGACAGGTTCTTGCATGCCTTGCCAAGCCACATGTTTGCATCTCACAGTTGGTTGTTACCTCTTCAATTTCATTGGCTGCTTCCCTCTCCTCTTTTTTTCCCTTCCTTTGAGTCTCTTCTGGCTCTCTTCTTCTTGCCTTTGAAGGCCTGCCAGCACCCCTCCCAAAGTTGGGAGGTAAAGGGGGAACAAAAAGGGGATGTCTCCATAGTGATGGATCATTTGTTTCTAATATTGACCCCATATACACATTCATATAACAATCTTTTGAATAACAACCATCAACAAAATCAACAGACACTAACTTCTGAGCAAGTAGGGCACTATATGCTTGCTTACAAGAGATGGCCCCTAAATCCCATACCCTACAACTGCAAAGCCTTTTCTCCAAATCAACAATGAACTGTGATCCATCATAACATTTAATTTGGTAGTGTCTATCATCACATTTAATGGGCATGCAGTCAGACACATGTGACAAGTGTTTCTGAAGGATCAACTTTATATTAGGGCAAATCTTGTTCTTTCATTTCAACTCTGCCTTATCTCTTTTTTTCTGCATCTTAATGCATATGTATTCTCTAATCCACTCAAGCATAGTGATAATTGGTTTTTCCTTAGCTTCAAGAATGATGCAGTTAAAAGGTTCACAAACATTATTGCGCAACATGTCACACTTTGGCAATTTATCAAGGAACCAGTTAAAAGCCTCCTCACTCATTTTCTTAATTTGAAGCATCATGGCATTAAACTCACCCACAGTGGTTGCTTGTGCTGATCTCCACATAGCATGCTTGTAGGCAAAACCCCTAAACCAACCTTAAAAAACTTGTTGTGTAGATGCCTCACACAGAATCTATGAGTAGCCCCAGGGAGCCAACATCAAAGGCTTTGATAAGGCCCTTCTGCTTATCAAATGAAGGTATACTGCTCGGGCCTAGAAATGTCTAAATCTCTCTTCAGAATGATGAGAAACCACTCCCATGTTTCAAAACACTTAGTCCCTACTACGACAAAGGCAATGAGAAACAAGGTGTTGTTTTGATCTACACCTAATGCAGTCAAGAGTATCCCTCTATCGGGACCCTTTAAATGGCAGCCATTTACACCAACAATTGGCCTACACCCAGACTTGAACCCCTCTCTCAGAGCATTAAAACAAACATAAAATTTGTGGAATCTATCCTCACCATCAACCTTCTCAGTAAAAAGAACAACAGTTGAACCAGGGTTTCAAGTTATCAACTCCTCTGCATAATCCCACAATTGGGAATACTAATGATCAGGTTCACCCTCAAGCTGTGCTAGGACTATTCTCTTAGCCCTTTAGGCCTGATCCTTTGATATATTAACACTACGATTGTTAATAATATCAAGTTTCCGGCCTTTAACACTTCTTTTAGGATCAGTTTGAAAATAGCTTATGAACTTTTCACTTAACCACTTTGATTTAATGTTTCTAACTTCAAAAGTTTCAGAGCAATTGTGTTTGGGGTTGTATTCCCTAATTGATAACTGGCCTGATCCTTCATTTTTCAAAAGAGTGATCTTCCAATTACTTTATTTATCTGAAAGTTCATTTACTTCTATGAAATGAACTTTTTGGAGGACCAAATTATCTTATAAGTTCATTTTTCATATATCACCAAATTATACTTATTTATCCAAATAAAGTGTTGTATCCTAAAGTCTGAAATATTTTCAAACAAACTCTTTCATTATTCAAGTTAATAAAATACCTTTACCTGCCAACTATCTTGCTTATGAAATTAGCATAACCAAGAAGAAAGTCTACTAAAGAGCACCAAGTACATATCCATGAACATGATAGAGAATAACCAAAACAAACTCTAGACAGAACCCAAACGAAATATTTCGAACGAAATATTTCAAACCAACTAATACATTGGACGGTCAATCACAGGTCCGATTGTAGTCGAAATGCGTCTCGTTTTCATGTCAAAACAAAACCAAGTTTCTGCCTTCTCATACCTGAAGTAGACACAGTTGTTCCGGCTTTTGCACCCCAAAAAACTCGCAGACATCCCCAAACAGCATTCCTCCTGCACAAAAAACACGGCATCATCCGAAAGCCTCTCCACTTTCTCCCAACACAATCTCCATTCATCCAACCGGAAAACCTCCACGTCGTCCACAACATTCACCAAAGCCATTGATAGCAAAAGCACCAAAAAGATTTCGCTTTCGCACCGTACCAAGTACTCCCTAAAGTGTCTGCAGGGCTTAGAAGGGACTGCTCGATTAGTTCCCAGACGAGTAATCTCGTAATCCCCGGAGCCATCACTGTCCTCGATTATTGCGAGGCTGCCCTGCAGGCTGATAGCGTAGAACTTCCCTTCTAATCCAATGGCGTTGGTGAACTCCATGTACTGACGATTGGTGGCCGAAAAAGGCTCTATAACTCTGCAGTTGCTCGTTTTCCACACGCGGCGAGAGTAATAGCAGATCTTGGACACGTAATTTTGTTCCACTTTGTTGGAGAATGCAAAAGCCGGTGAATCAAGGCCGGTTACGACCATTCTTGTGTTGCCGGAAGTCAGAGCACGTCTCAAGGGGACACTATAGTCACTGTGCGTGCCGTAATTACTGTACCGAAACAAGTTGGAGAGAAAAGTATCAGTAGAATAAAAGGTCACTTGGCGTTGGTGGCAAAACCTCTTCATACTGTATTCGCCGGGAATTCGGGCATCTCTGAAAGGGATGCCAATTAGAGCGAGCTGAGGGCAGGTTTGTCTGTGCGGCGGCGGCTGATTAAGGTTGCAAGAGGGCGACGAGACCACCCATGATTTGGTGATCCCGCCGGTTTCCGACATGTTGCTCCTTATAATCTGCAGTCGTCCCCAGTCTCTAACGTCGGCGATTGGGAGATATGGCAATTTCTCTTCGCCGCGTCCGGTTGGTATCTTTTTCTTCGGTGATTTTTTCTCTTTATTCTTCTTCATCATCATCTTCTTCTTCTCACCCATTGTTCCTGATCGAAACAGAGATCGGAAAACATAAGAAATTACGAAAACATAAATAAACGAATACAATCAAAGAAATCCGATGTTATAAGAAAATCGTATACCTTCGTTGTGCTTGATTTGATTATGCCGACGACGACGAAGAGGAGTTTCAGTTGGAACCCCTAGGATAATTCGCGTAGCCTCGCACAAAATAACAGCTCGGATAATATACACACCTAAATAAATAAAATAATCACACAACAAAATTGCATCACATAACAATTTAATATTTAAGCAGATAATTGAAGACAGGAATAAGCGAGCAAATATATATAAATAATAAACCGAAGCCAATGATCAAATAAATGTAAATAAATAATACATAAATCACAGAATATTCTAATAAACGAAAAGGACACTACGTTAGGTCCATCACATCCTTAAAGTAAGAAAAGATCTACTTCTAAATTCAGTGCTCTGTCATAAAATATAAAACAAAGAGAATTTTCAGACATAACAAAAAAAAACATGTTCACAGAAATTCGATTACACGGATAAACAAAAAAAAAAAATGATGCAAAATACAATAATACTACAATCACTGGCAAATTTACAATTGGCCCTAATTACAGAGAAAGGTCGTAATTACTACCAAAGCACATGTACAATGAGAATGCATCGGATCAACTTGAATCAGTGGATCGCTTATAGAATACAGAAGAAAGTGGAAAGGGTTTGAGAAAGTTGATAACAAATGAAAAAAAAAATCAATTTGGACAATGAAAGCAGTTGTAAAAGGTAAAATGACATGTTGGTCATACAGCCACAGTTAGTCTTCAACTAAACAGACATACATAAGCTACTATGAATTTGTTGTCAAAAAAAAAAAAAAAAAATAGCCCCACAAAGAAAGAGCAAAGTTGCAGTAAAGTCAAATAATTAAGCAAATAAATTCCCCTATATATAATTCTCGAATATGGTGCGCCTAAGTGGTAGGTTCGCATGCTTCGCGATCCTAGGTGTCAAAATTTCATGATTAATTATTTGGTTTGGATAGATTGCAATTTAATTCCAATCCAAAAATAATTGGGTTCGGATTACTATAAATATGTTGATTTATTTATGATCACTAGTACAAAGCCCGTGATGCACGGGGTGCACAATTTTAAAGTCATTTATCCAACCTTATAATTATATAAATGAATAAAATAAATATACAGAATATATATAGTACGTGACATGTGCGATGCGGGATATATTTATTTAGGGATTATTATACTATAAGATACAATATTCAATAAAAGTTTTACAATACACGAAAATAAATATAAATAATGTAAATATCTAAATACATACACGATATGTGGAATAAATAAACCAAATTGCAAATCTGAAAATATAATTTAAAAAAAAAATTGATAATATATTTCACTAAACATGTACATAATATCTAAATACATACACGAAAAAAAATTATATACGTTTCAAATTTCGAAATTAAAACAAAAATTCAAAATTTGGCTTACAGTTTTATCATGCAGAACCAACTCGATATATGATTTGTATGTGCTGCCCCAGTCTTGGAAAAACATTCTCACAATTCGAACTTTAAGCATAGGTCTATTAGACCTATTGACTTGTTTGATTAACCCAAATCCTCGATTCATTGTTTTGAATAAAAGACTGATTGGGGATATATTTTTTGTTCGCAGGAGGTTCATAGTGAGGAAGATGATGACTCGATATTTTGAGATTTGTAATTTATAATGGGTAGAGTAGATATATATTGTTGTTAATATTTTTATTAGAAAATCTGAATTTGAATATACAAAAATAGGTTTGAACAAAATAAGAACTGATTTCTATACAATTAGATAATAAATAAAGCCTTTTTTTATTTTAGTAAATATTTACGTATTTTTTTTTTACTTATCAAATGTTATGGGTTTTTTTTTTTATTAAACCGATTTTATGGGTTATAATACAAATACAATTAGAGAATTGAACAAAATCAGAATAGATTTTCATACAATTAGATAATAAGAAGGAATTAGATAAGGAAAATAAAGAATTAAATAAGGAATTTTGAATCTACTTTTTTTAGTATAGATAGACTTTACGTACAAATTTTGACTTCACCGATTTTATGAGATTTGTTTTGACAAAATCGATGTTAATATGAAATAAGACAAATAAATAAAGCCTTTTTTATTTTGGTAAAGATCTTACGTCTTTTTTTTACTTATCATATGTTATGAGATATTTATTCTTAAACTGATCTTATGAGATATAAGACAAATAAATAAAATAATTAAGTAAAATTTAGGATACAAATAATAATGCATTAATTACGTTGATTTTTTAACCTACTAAATTTGGTAAATATGATATCTTATTATATAAGTATAGAGTTTGATTGTTTTTGCTCACCCGATTTTATGGGATTTTTTATGTCAATATAAGAAAGATTAAAATTTAGAAGTTCAACATAAATTTATAAGAAGAATTTTTTTTATGGGATTTACGTATAAAATTTTTTATGTCTATATATATATATATTAAAAGCCAACCTATTTACCAAAAATAGTAGCAAGAAAAGTCAACACACATTTAATGCATACCTTATTTGGAAATTTTTTACTATATGCATTAAATGCTTACATATTTACATTTATTATCCAGATATGATCTTAAATATTTTTTCCTTAAATAATTTATGCAATGATTTTACTGATAGTCATCATAATTAATATTTGTCGAGTAATATTTTTTAACCTTTATTTAATTATATAAAACTAATATTTTTTTTAAAAAAATAATAATATTTATCATTTAAAAGATAATTATCACATCATTAATGATTTTATCATTAAATGATTTTATTTATGGTTAGATAATAAAATTATATTAGTTATTCTTTAAAATTTTTACTAAAATAAAAATCGGCTTAAGAAAAAAAAATCTCATAACATCCGATAAGTCAAAAAAAATGTACGTAAAATCTTTCCTAAAATAAAAAAGACTTTATTTATTTGTCTTATTCTATAATAACATCGATTTAGTCAAAACAAATCCCATAATCGGTGAAGTCAAAAAATGTACGTAAAGCCTATTTATACTAAAAAAGGCAGATTCAAAATTCCTTATCTAATTTCTGTTTAAAGCATTTTATTTAATATTTATTTATATGAAATATTGGATAGGATTGCTGGATCTGAGTCAATTTTGAAATCGCGTTGTTTGATATGAGAGGATTATTCGTATTCTATATCTGTCTAAAACATATTATTTTATATTATTTAATTAATTTATTTAATGTTAAATTTTTTTATCCATGATATCATTTTTGTCAAAAAAATTGAACAAACAAACAAATAAAAAAGAAACGGGATTAATTACCTTCGACTTGTAAAAAATTTATGGGTGGACGTAAATATTTAACAATGTTGTTTCAAGTTCCTCAAATAATACTATAATTATGATGTTGAAATATAATCTGTTTTATGAGTGACGTAAATATGATGTTTAAATTTCCCTAAAATAATTTTTTTAAAAATAATGCTGTTTAAAGTCCCTTAAATATTAATATATTTAAAGTATACACATGTTGTAATATATTAAAGTCAAAACAATGTTGGAAGGCTTTTGAATTATCTAAGTTAATTAATTTAAATGTTTAATCACATTAAATCTTCAATCCATGGAATATTTTTACTAATCCCGTGAGCATGTTGTTTTGTTATTGTAATCAACTTATACACTATTTTACTAATAAATTATTTAATATCTATGTACAAGGAGGTCTTTAATAATATATGATTTTTTTGTCAGATACTATTTTATTGTATAATTTTTCTGCGTACTATAAAACTTTTATTAAATATTGCATCTTATAATATGATATTCCCTAAATAAATATATCCCGTGTCTCTCACAGGTCCCGTACTATATAAATCCCGTATATTTTTTTATTCATTTATATAATTATAAGGCTGGATAAATAATCTTAAAATTGTGCACCCCGTGCACCGCACGGGCTCTGTACTAGTTAATATTTATAAGAAGGATTTTTTATGTCAGTATGAATTATAAATGCATTAATTACTACTTGATAAAATTAGAAGTTCATTAATTAAGTTTGACTTTTCTACCTACTATATTTAGTAAATAAGATCCCCTTTAATATAAGTATAGATAATTATAAATTATTCCTTGCATAATACTATAAGACGCGTTATTTATCTTAGTTGTAAATCTGTTTTTATTTGTGAAAGAGAGAGCGCGATTTATTTCCTTAATAATATGGAATTTTGGAAACAAATAAATTTGAGATAAAATAAAAATACACGCTCAACTTGAAAAAAAAAAAAGATAAGAACAGATTTGTGATCAAATATTTCCATACAAGTTTTGTTTCTTGATCTTATCATATTTTTTTTTACAAAACTGTTTGAATGAGATAAAATTGAAAACAAAATACACGTAATTAATGCACTTGATAAGATTAGAAAGTCATTAATTATTGGTGATTGTTCTACATACTGAAATTAGTAAATAGGTTTGCTTATAATATAAATATAGATTTTAGATGTATTAATTGTACTAGTGTGTATCCCGTGCGATGCACAGACGGGCTTTTTACTTAAAATCTTTTCTAAGACTTTATATTAAACATAATTATTATATGTTTAACATCTCATTATCGTAGGAAAAGAAATATCAAATATGAAAAATTATATACTATTTATTTGAATATAATGAGTGTCCCTAACCAAACTAATAACATCCAACATATGATATATAATAAAGTTGATTATAATTTATACATATGGTCATACTTTATGAATATATAT